GAGTCAGTGGAAGACAGGAGAGCCTGGTGTGCTCTGGTCCATGGGGTCACAAAGAGTTGGACATCACTAAACACCGCATTCAGGCCCCGATTGGTACAATTAATCCCCGGCAGCTTTCTGAACCGCCGCACAAAGGGCTGACGGAGCGTGGGGCCTTTTGTCCTGGACACCAAAAAAAAAAAGAGAAGGGGAAAAAAAGCTGACTGTGGCAGAGAACCTGAGGTTGCACTTTTCCCGCTGACACGCCGTTTGCCAACACAAAGGACAGCCACACAAGTGCCGCAACAGCAGTGCCGGGGTCAGGCCCCAAGTGGGGAGGATTACCACGTGCTTCCCCCGCTACCTCCCACAAACAACGCACACCGGGAGCCCAAAATGACCACCTGTATTCCACACAACACACCCCTCTGGCCTGCCGCCTTTTGCAAAAAGCTTGCCTTTCCTCCCTGAGTCGCTTTGGCAGAGTCCAAACAAACCTTTGGGCTAACGAGAACCTGTTCGTTACGTCACTACGGACCGAATCGTTGGGGTATTTCATGATAGAGAGAGTTTCCCTCAAAGCAACTCCTTGGTGGCTGTGGGAGGAAGGCTTACCCATGTAATTAAAATTTAAAAACAAGATTATTCCTCCACACCCCCACTGTTATTGAGAGGGACCGAGTACCAACAAAGACGGTTCTTCTTCAACAATGGCATCAATCCTCTTTCTACCAGTCTTTGCCGCTTAAAAGGGATACACACACACACAATTTTAACAGCTTCGTCCTTCCCATTGAATCCTTTCAGTGAACAACTTGTCTAATCACCTTTTTTTGGTGGTGATGGGGGAAAGGGCTATATAAAGCTGCGGAAAGTTCCCCTGAAAGCAACAGATAGCTATTACGACTTGAAGAGCAATTAGTTGCTCTCGTTATTCACACATTTATGTTCACATCACCTTTTCACCGACCAAGCACCGGTCCGATTCCAACACACCCACCTGGACCAAACCCCCACCTTCCCCTCCCCCGTCCTCACCCTCACCGTGGAGGAGAATCGCCCCGTGGGAACCCTCTACCTGCTCCCCACAGCCACCGACCGGGACTTCGGACGCAACGGCATCGAGCGCTACGAGCTGCTCCAGGAGCCCGGCAGCGAGGGCGGCAGGCGGGGCGGGGGAGGAAGCTCGTCTTCCGCCGCCTCCGACAGCGCCCTCTACCCCGGAGGCAGCAAGAGGAGGCAGGAGGCCGACAGCGCGGCCCGGAGCAGCGTCTTCGAGCTGCAAGTGGCCGATACCCCCGATGGGCAGAAACAGCCTCAGCTGATCGTCAAAGGGGCGCTGGATCGCGAGCAGCGCGACTCCTATGAGCTGAGCCTACGGGTCCGGGACGGGGGAGACCCGCCGCGCTCCTCGCAGGCCATCCTCCGCGTCCTGATCACCGACGTGAACGACAACAGCCCCCGCTTCGAGAAAAGCGTCTATGAGGCGGACCTGGCCGAGAACAGCAGCCCCGGCACCCTAATCCTGCAACTGAGGGCGGCCGACTCGGACGTCGGCGTGAACGGGCAGATCGAGTATGTCTTTGGGGCAGCCACGGAGTCGGTGAGGCGCTTGCTGCGCCTGGACGAATCCTCGGGCTGGCTCAGCGTCCTGCACCGCATCGATCGCGAGGAGGTGAACCAGCTCCGCTTCACCGTCATGGCCCGGGATCGCGGGCAGCCGCCCAAGACGGACAAGGCCACGGTGGTCCTCAACATCCGCGACGAGAACGACAACGTGCCCACGATCGACATCCGCAAGATCGGGCGCATCCCGTTGCGCGACGGCGTGGCCACTGTGGCTGAGGACGTGCTGGTGGACACTCCGATCGCCCTGGTGCAGGTCTCCGACCGGGACCAGGGGGAAAACGGGGTCGTGACTTGCACGGTGGTGGGGGACGTGCCCTTTCAACTCAAGCCGGCCAGCGAGGGCGAAGGCGAGCCCCAGAACAAGCGCAAGTACTTCCTCCACACCTCCGCGCCTCTCGACTACGAGGCCGTGCGCGACTACAACGTGGTGATCGTGGCCGTCGACTCGGGCAGCCCCAGCCTGTCCAGCAACAACTCCCTCCTGGTGCGGGTGGCGGACACGAACGACAACCCGCCGGTCTTTGGGC